GGGCATGCTGTCTCATTCAAGGGCAGACAGCTGCGCCTTACGGCAGAAGAACGCGGACAAGTCAGTCGGAGAACACCTGGACCGATGAAACAGAAGGTCCGCGACGCACATATGACTGGCCCCGTTCCGCCGCATACCGAAGCCATCCGCGACCAGACGGGGAACACGCTTCGGTACATTGCTGTATTTGCGGAAGACCCGGTTTTCGCATTGCTGAGCAGCCTCAGCCAAGTTGAAGGCACGTTTGAACAGGCAAAAGATTTCCTCAGAGTTGAATTTCATTCCGATGGTGTCCCAGAAGGATTTGCGCCAGAGACCTTTGCGTGCCTTGAGCCGCTGGTAGTTGGGATCGACGACAGCGATACTCCGGCTGCAGTGGGCAGTACGGACACGTGGTCTACCCAAAGCTGTCGAATGGATGCATTTGCTGGGAAAATAAGCAAATGCGCTGTGTACCTCGCGAGGCATTGCTCTGACTATGCGAGATCGTCGGGTGGCTGGGTCTATTTTGGAAACCTGGTGCAGAAAATTGAAGAGGACGGTTTTACTTTTCAATCACATGCTCTTGCTGCACACGGCTTAGCCGCGTTGCCGCCAGAGACAGTGGAAGTTTCAGGGACACTTCCTAAGGATAGTGACAATATTGTTGGAACCAGTGTTCACAAAATGTGGACACGATATATGGAATGCCCATCGCACGATATCGTGTTCATGGAATGTGGACGCGCTGTAAGAGAGAGGAGCGAAACCGCAATACCTATTTTCTATCGAGCATGCCAGGGACATTCAACATTCGTTGCTTCCATTGAACGAATGTATGTTCCATATGACCCTGGCCAAGTCAGGAGTCATGAATCTCTTCTTCATATCACGGACTTGCAGACATTTTTGGAATCTACGGATGGAACAGCCCGCTTTCCCAAGAGAGACTCAGGGCTCTGTCGCGAGGCAGACTATGATTTACTGAGGCTGCTTCCGACGAAAAGGAGCCCGACAATGCCTGATCCCATTCGTATTCCTTCGTGGCTCAGCCAGCGGAGGTGTGGAGAGCCTCTCCCCGCGAGGAGTTTTGTGCCCATGGGATATGAGGCACTGGGAGGAGAACCGCCATCGGTGGGGACTTGGCCCGCAGACGACACCATCCACCTATGGGAACAACTTCCCAACCACCGCGAGTCCTGGGAGCTTGTTCTTGTTTTCACCGGCCGAGTGCTCACTCGCTTCTCATGCAGGGTTTACCCAGGCGGGACCCTGGTGCCCCGAGAGGTGCCGAAATTCACCGATATTGACAAAGCCGTCTCTCTCGTTAGATAAACGAACCAGATGCGTTTGTCGGTACTTTTCAATCGCGAGTGGGCCTCGTACGAAGTGACTTTCGACAACGAGTCGACTATTGCTTGGATCCACACAGACGAGATTCTGTTGTTGGCTTGGAATCGTCGGCCAGCGCTGTCACCCGAAATGCAGGAACGGGTTCTATCCGCCCTATGCTTTCGTTATCGCTGGGTGAAAACGGGCTTTGAACATTGTCCGGTCTGCAGCTGTCGGAATAAGTACAAGCGCAGAGTCACGCGTGATTACATGTCTCAGACGTGGAATCTTGAAATAATCCCGCGATCCCTTGAGGCGCATCGACTTGTATTACAGGCGAGAGATCAACACCATCTCCCCTGGAACCGTCCCCAATGGATCAAAATGCGCGGGGATAGACAACAGAAAGCTTCTGCGCTTGTAATGAAGAGCGTCCGCAGTAATCATCAGCAGGAGCGAAAATGGGCGAATGGGGAATATAGTAAAATGGCGGCATCAGGCAAGATATTCGGCAACAGCCTGCCAGGCAATTTCCCCGCTTGGGTGCCAACGGACGCCATGGCTCAGCCACCGGCGCGCCATGGCCCTTTCTTCCAGTATTTGAGGCCCTTGGTTAGAAGGTTCATAGGACGGCTTCAATACTCAGCCAGAAGGGTGAGAAGGCGGACCCCTGCGATCAATACCTGGTGGCCGCTGCTATGGAAGACGAATGTTGACCAATATGCTCGCCCAATATCTTGCTCAGCTCTGGCCGCCTTCGACTGGCCAAAGCACGGGGCGACTTAGTCGAACCCGTGAGAGGCTGGGAGAGATGGTATAGCGACATGACTAGAACGAATGTCTTCGCCCCGGCGCTTCAAACGATTGATGACGCGGTGGCCTTGGGGACACCATGGTTGCCTGTGCAGAATGAAGACGTCGTGGAAGACGTAGGAGAAAACCCTAGAGGGCAAAGCCCTCGCGGACGGTTGCCAGTCGTCTGGGAGAACAATTTCCGGGCGAGGCCGACTCGCAGTTCTCAATCCGTTGCAAGACGGGTCAACGAATGTCGGGACCATCGCCTCATAGTACCAGTATTGCTACATGCCACCGGTGCAGCCGCGAGGGCAGGCGAACAATCACAGATGGGACTGGACTTCTCGGCAACCAGCGGGCCTAAGGCTGCGCTGATAACCGAAGGAGTGATCAACCTTGATCAGCCCGACTGATATGTATACAACCACTGCGAAGACTGTTCAGTAAAAATAACTTTGTTCGGGGTAGAGGCTCGGGCGATTGCAGCTCAATGGGTTATCGAATACACAGGCATGCGCCCGAGTGATCCCGACAGGATGGTACTGCTAGGGGAAGTGGAACATGAGGTCCCACCAATTGTCAAGGACATAGTTGATGGAAACTGGTTGGCCTCCGTACAGCAGGTGCAATTTGGTCTTCGGCCCATAAGGATTTTTGCGATTGTTCGCGAAACTTTGAGCTCCTTCATTTCGGAGGGGTATTACATCGGTTACCCGGGGCGAGTAATTCGCCCCGACGGAGCGAGCACGGACCTCATTGCTAAGATGCGACGGAAAGATGAATATGCTCTTGACTGCCGCATTCGCGCCGCCGTTCAGACGGACGACATAATAGAGGAATGGGCCCGCAATCTGGGCAGGAAGGTGCAGACTGACGTCCGTTGCACGGGTGCTCTGCTGCAAGAAGCCATTTCTTGGCTTCAGGACAAATATATTGAGCCTGGGACAGAGCTCCAGGATATAGACGCAGGACCGTTCCGCACTGCGTGCGGAATATATGGTATCCCAGTAGCTACCGCTGCTAGGAGTTGGTTAAAATTTATGCGAGATCGTGAGAACAGACACGACAATCCACACCACGGCGGCGAAGCCTCCCCCGTGGGACCAATAAGGGCACAGGACGAGGTGGAAGCCAGACCACCAACAACACCTCGACCGCTCAGAACCGACGTCTCAGACGTTCGGTCTTCCGATGACGCTACCGAACCCCCGCGTTCTGTCGCCGGCTCAGCCGTGACGACGAGAGAGGAATACTCAAGGTATTCCAACGCTTGGGATCGGTCGGTGCCCCGGCGCGCGCGCGATGGGGCCATGGATGCGGGCCGCGGCGCTGCTGGCTACGACCCGCTCGTGTCCTACCCGCGCTACGTGAACGATGTTCATGTCGGGCACTGCGTCCACTGGGACCGGATCACGCGGTTGTCCGACGAGGTCTGGTGGGCGCTGGATCTGCGGCGTGCACGGTCTACGTTTGAGCATGGCGCTCACCTCCCGCTGAATAAGGGGAGGGCGCCCAAGAACAAGGAGAAGAGCTACAGTGCTGCAGATCATACTAGTAAAGGAAAGGGGCGGTCCCGCTCGCCTCGAGGCGGAGACGGACAGACAGGAGGTTCGGCGTCGTCGAACCCGCCGCCTCCGGCGCCGCCCACGGAAGAGGAGAACCCGTGGGATGAGCTGGGCTGAGATCCGCCCGCGCGACTTAGTCGCGGCAGGCGCATGCATGGAAGTTCTCATCCACGCGCGGTACGCGTGTTGGATGGGTAATCAACTCTACTGGTCGGCTAAGCCAGTCCAGCGGAGAGAATTTATTTATGTGATGGTGGGAGTTCTCGGGCCTCTTCGGCCCTTTGCCCCCTGGCAGCCCCCGTTGAGCCGTAAAAGTTTGTGGGGTTGGCTCCGGTGGTTGTGTATATGTATAGGCCAGGGGTGCTGTGGCCGGATGGGCTCTACGAGGCCCGCCGCGGGGGGGGTGCATGTGCTCCTCTCCGCCTCATGATAATATCACTTATAAACATACTTGCATGCTGCGCACTGTCTGACTTGAACTGATGCTGCATACTGCAGCTGTTTGTTTACTCAAGCAAGTTTTCGTTTGCTTGCAGGAGAGAAAAGGAGCGCGCCAGCCCTCGGCCGTCGCACGTCGTCGGTCGTAGGTCAGCCGGTATCCTCCCTTCACATTCCTGATATAGTAAATTTGCTTACCGGATACTTGTCTTATCGATGTCTCATCCCGTCCCCTCTCTCCCTGAGCAGAGTGAACATGAGATCTTAACTCCTTTGGCATATTACCCCGATTCTCAGAGGAAAGACTGGGTGGGGGGAGGAGGATGCCACCGCCTCTTTGCTGCGCCACTTCGTCCGCCAGCTGGCGATGCAGGTGCCGCGGCGGAGGATGACATCTGCTCTTTGTTGTGCAACTTCTACTGCCAACTAGCGATGCAGGTGCAACGGAGAAGGATGGCATCGGCTCTCCGTTGCGCAAGTTCTACCGCCAATTTGCGATGCATCTGCAACGGAGGAGGAAGCCATTGCCTCCTCGTTGTGCCACCTGTTTTATTAGCTGGCGATGCAGGTGCAGCTGAGGCGCAGAAGACAACACACCATCCCCCGATATGGTAAGGCAACATGGATCTTGTGCTAAGGATGAGCTGGCCAGGGTCGGCGTGATGTGCGAGCGGCGCCCCCCCTCGCCCCGGTGCGGCTCGAGCGTCTCTGGTGCCGCCCGTGCGGTTCTCGCTGCGTGCGGCTGTGGCAGCCGCCGCTCTCGATCACGTTGGTGTCGCTGGCGCTTCTCCTCGGACCCCCGGCACAGTGGCGGGTGCCGTGCTCGGCTCCCTCCGGCACCCTCTTCTCCGCTCTGCCCTCCTCTCCCGCGCCTTCGCCCCGCCCGCGCAGGCCGTCTACGCCCTCGCCATGCTCCCGTCGGGGGAGCTGGTGACGGGAGCGGAAGACATGCGAGTCTTCGTGCGGAGCGATCGCGACGAGGGTGCCTTCGAGCTGGCTCAGGCGCGCTGGGTGGGAGCTGCGCCAAGGGGAGTGTCGAACAGATGCAGCAAGGAGGGCGCGTCTGGCGCTACAGGGTAGCAGGGCCGTGTGGAGCCAGACGCGCCCGTATCCAGCTTTGCGTTTCACCAGTCGGTCGTGGTTCTTTCATCGGCAGCGCGTGTGTACGAGCGGGCGTGTTCGTGCCCGGCTGAGCGCTGCGTGCGCGTGTCCAAGAGCGTTGTGGAAGTCGATCAATGGAGAGGAATCGTGCTGCCAAATAACTTCCAGATATCTAAACCGTGTTTCAAACATGTTTTAGATAATTAAAAGCATGTTTCAAACATGTTTAGAACATGTTTGAAACACATGTTAGACACTTTAAAAAATTCCATGACAGGGTTGTCAGAGTGTCCACTGTCATGGCATCCACAACGCCAGCGTGTCGAGGGGCGCGCAGGAGCAGTCGCAGGCGGCGTTTCCTGGCCGCCTGCTAGTCTTCCCGAGGCTCTCGCCCTCTGCTCGGCAGCCCTGCCGCGCGCGCTCGAGCAGATCGACTCGGCCCAGGATGGGTGCGAGCCTCATCGCCAGACCCACGCGGGGCCCGCAGCGTTCGACCCAATGTTCGAGCAGGGGATCGACCACAGAATCGGGCTACCCCGACATTGGTTGTGCCGTCGCGGCAGCGAAGAATACTCAGAACGTGTCCCTTCACGGAGCATGCTACGCATTTTTCATGGCTTCGACGGGAAGTAATTTTCGAAGTGGTTCAATCCTGTAGTCGATCTGCTACTTGAAATGTCTGCCACTGGCGTTCTGCAGCCGGGCCAGCCCGCCAGGATCCTCTGCGGCTCCTCGAGGGGCCCCAGGGCGGGCACCCCCGAGGCGGGCACTCGCAGAGAGCCGCCCCTGCGCGACCGCCAGCGCGGCGCGAGCGTTGCGCCAGCCCGCGGCCGCGGCGGCCCGATCACACCCAGCAGGCGCTTCGCGCCCAGCAGGGCTCGAGCGGGGGATGGACTGCAGAGTCGATCTCCCCCCAAAGTGTTTCTTCTCTCGTCGGATCCACGGAACGTGCGCAGAACGAGCGTAGACCTGCGAGCATTATCTCTACGTCTTTCTAGGGTACATGATTAAGTATATATGCATATACATGTGTACACACACTTTTATCAATCGATGTGTATATATATACACATATACATATATATATAGATATATGTGTATGTATGTATGTATGTATGTATGTATGTATGTATGTATGTATGTATGTATGTATGTATGTATGTATGTATGTATGTATGTATGTATGTGTGTATGTATGTGTGTATGTATGTATGTATGTATGTATGTATGTATGTATGTATGTATGTATGTATGTATGTATGTATGTATGTATGTATGTATGTATGTATGTATTTATGTATGTACGTATGTATGTATAGTCGGCATGAAAATCAAGTTTGGGGCAAGGCAACTCTGTCTCTGTAGTCGATCCCCTACTCGAAGGGCGCATGCCGCGCGGAGACGGCCGCGGCGCCCCCGCCGCGCGCGCGCCGCGGGCGCGCCTACGGCGCCTGGCGGGCGGCGCCGCGCTGGCCGTTGCCACGGCCGTGGCCTGCTGGCCGCGGCCGGCGGCGGCCGTCGTTGGGGCCCGCGGCCCGCCTGCAGCGGCCGCGGCGGTGCGCCGGCGCGGGCAGGCCGCGGCGCGGGCGGCAGCTGCGGTGCTCGAAGGACCCTGAAGAGCCTGGCGTTGCAGTTCTTTCGCCACGCGCGTGTTCGTTCAGCTTCGGGCCCCTGGGCTCTCGCATGTCGATCCGGCGCGAAGAGGGACGCAGAGAGATGGGGTCCGGGGCTCCAGTCGTGATTGTTTGCGATGTTCCAAGTTGTTTCCAACGTCAGATCTCAGGGAAGAGTGACGTCTTGCGCGCGTGAGTTTGGCCCCCCCGCGGCTTCCCGTAAGCCGCGTACCAAATGTAACTTTTGCCGAGGGTCACTCTTGCGTAAGCCGCGCACCAAACGTCACTCTTGCTGAGGGTCACTCTTGCCGAGGGTCACACTTGTAGCCGAGAACTGCATGAGCGTAAGCTTGCCAAGCTCCACGCGGTTTTCTTCGATCCGTGCTGCGCCCCCCTGGCGCCGCCTCTGGCGCGCTCCGCGCGCCAAGGAAATGGGCACGTGCCGCTGGCCTGATTTGCGCCCCCCCCCCCCCCCTTGGACGCCCCCCTCTTGGCCGCCCCCGAATCTCGAGACGCCCCATCTGGCCTGTCAAGGGGGGCTGCCCGGGGAGTGTCCAAGGCTGGAGCCGCCCCCCTGGCCGCGAAACGCGGCCAAGGGGGGGCCCGGTGGGCGCTCCAGGCTGAAGTTCGAAGCCGTGGTGTCCCGAGGCGCCCCCCCGGCTGCGAGACGCGGGCGCGGTCCAGGTTCACGCCGTGGTGTTCTGAGGCGCCCCCGTGGCCGCGACACGCTGTCAAGTGGAGGTGCCCAGTGGGGCGCCGCTCAAGGTTGATGCCATGGCGTTCTGGGCGCCCCCGCGGCCGCGAGACGCGGTTACGGGGGGAGCGTCCGGGGAGCTGTGTCCCGAGGTTGCTTGTCCGCAAAAGAGTCTCAAGAGGATTCCCAGCTAACCAATTTCTGAAAGGCACCCACGGATGTTGTGGTTACATCTCTGGGATTCGCAGTTGATCGGCCGAAGGTTATCACTCAAGGGTTCCGGACAGGCGGTGACCGTTTCAAGAGGCCCTCCGAGGGTCATCAGCTTGGCCTCGAATTCCCCTGGGGCCCCAGAGACCGTCCAGCGGATCAGCCTCGGCCCTCAGATGGCACGAAAATACCCCATCGTATGCCAATATGTCTCCCTACTTGCTCAAAGAGCAAAAAAAGAGATTCTAGCAGTTTCCACGGTGCCACCCGACGGAACACATGAGAGTCATCACAGGCCTCTCAGCTGGGCCAAACCAGACAAAGACCCAAGGCATTATATTCCAACATGTTCTTCAGATACGACCCCACGAGTCCACGAGAGCCCCATAAGGGTCTCTTAGTTCTTCTGTCCCTCGTGTTCACTCCCTCTCGTCTCGATCGTACCTTTTTCTGTTCGGCCTGCCACCTTCCTTCCCTTTCCTCTGTTTCTCCGTCCGCCGTCCCCGCGCCTGACCCTTCACCTTACACATATATATATATATATATATATATATATGTATACACAAATACAATACATAGCTGTATATATTTATATATGTATATATAAGTATGCTTATAGATGTACACAGGTATAAGCATACACATATATGTACAAACATCTGCGCCGTTTTATGCTCCTCCAGGTGCTCTCGGAGGGAGCCGCGCTGGGCGCGGCGGGCGGGGAGCCGCGCCCTGGCAAAGCCGGCGCCGGGGCCTCGGAGCCACCCGACCTCTGGCCGCGCCTCCGCGGCCGCTTCAAGTCTTTCGACCCGGCGAGCGGCTACGGCTTCCTGGTCTGCGCCGCGGTATTTCGGGGGCGGCGAAGAGGGGGGTGATGACTGGGGGGGGGATATCATGGCGTGGGCCATAATAGTTCCTCAGATTTCATGGCGCCTCTTCTTATTTCACTACGTCCCTGACCCCTCCCTGGGCCGCGCACATGCCGCTGGCCATGAGTTGCGCCCCCCCCTCTTGGGCGCCCCTCGTTTGGCCGCCGCCCCCGAGTATTCAGGGGCGGCTTGGCGGACTCCTAGCAAAACACCCCCCTTCCGTGACGTCCCCCGTCGCCTCACCCCAGGACGCATGCCTGCGGCCAGAGGGAACATGCGGAAGGCGATGATGACGTCACAGAAGTTGTCGGTCACGGTAGGGGGTCGGTCAAGCCGTGCCCGAGGTGCCCGACAAGGATCGGGCCGGACGAAAGGGTAGATTAGGCAAAGGGGGGTTACGAAGTCTGCTGCATGCAGCTGGTTTCGGCCCCGCCTCCAGGCCGATTCCTCAATACACGGGCGCCTCCCGGTACCGATGGGCGCCAGGAAAACCAGCTACGTGAGCTGATTCTAAACCCTGCCCTTTGCTATCCTACCCTGTCGTCCCCCCCGAAAGTGGGGGGCCCAAAACTATACACCACCACCACCACCTACCTCACCCCCTCCCTCTCCCAGGAGAGAGAGGAGAGGCAGAGGAGAGCAGACCTAGAGGAGGGAGGAGGGGTCGACGTGGTGGTGGTGTCTATTCCTGGGGGCCCCCTCGAGAGGACGTGTACTTCCACGCCTCCGACGCGGCCGTCCGCGGCGTGGTGCCCGAGCGGTGCACCACGCGGCCCGGCCAGCTGCCCCGAGGGCCCGAGGCGGAGTTCGAGCTGCGGTGGCGGGGCGGCCGGCCGAGCGCCGTGGGCCTCACGCTGGTCGGCGCCCGCCGGCACGCCGCGGCGCTGGTGCCCCGCAGGCGGCTGGCGCCGTGGTCACGCCGACTCGGAGGAGGAGGAGGGGGAGGAGGAGGAGCAACGAGCACATGAAGCGACGCGCCGAGTCGAGACGAAGGACAGGCAAGAGGAAAGGGAAAAGGTGAGAGAAGCACAATCGCACACAGAACGACGAGGGCACACCCTGCAATAGCCCAGCAAAGCATCACGGCCACAGGGCACACGCTCACTCACCAACCAGAGGCCTGGCCAGGAGCAACACAGGAACTGGAAAGCAGAACCTGGAGCAGACGCATGCAAGCACCGACGATCAACTCACCAGACGATGCCCTACACGCGGGAAAATACAAAACGAGTTAAAACGGAATTTAAGGCGTTAAATTCAGAAGCAACCCCAGCCACTGCACAGCTGGGTCTGAAACCTGGAGCCTACGGGGCATGGGGATGGGGTGCTTTCGGCCGTCACTGGGATGACGGCCCGAAGCGAAGTTATCTCGGCGCCACCTCCGCTGGGGGTTGGACACGAGAGCCTGCGGGTCGCAGGTACCATACAGGTCGGAACGGGCGGCCTTCGCAGAGAAGGAGCCACACCTCGTGCATCCTAGGATCTCCCCAGCCCTGTACAGGATGTGACCTCGGG